AATTTATTTTGAAAAAAGTAGACCTATTTGTCGAAAATAGCAACTATAAGTTTACGCCCATTTGTTAGCGCACCTAGTGGGCGTGGCAGTTTTAAATTTTTGCACAAGATGTTTCATATTCTCCTCTATCTACGTACAAAATTTCATTCAATTATCTTGCAAGACAACCGAGATATTCAACAAAAACCAAAAGTGGTTTTGGGACACAAAAATTGAAAAAAATAATTGCCAAAAATTTTTGTAAAACACCAAGTCACCAGAACCTGGTAGTAGGTGGATTTTCGCTCACTATTTTCTTTGACATGAAATATCTCGAAAACTACTTGAGATATTGATATGAATGTTTCACCATATGATAGATTGGAAATTGGTCTACAGGATGGGCAACCTTTGGCCCGCCTGGCGTTTGGACAACCCGGTTGAAAAATGGGGTATATAGTTAAGACACGTTTATCTCAGTTGTTAATGGACCTAGATCTTTACAGTACAGCTTATATGAATCGCAATATTCCATTTTATCTAATTGCCAAATTTTATTTAAAATCTCTTAAAAATAGTCGAAATGTTGGTGAAAGTCTAAAAATGGTTTAAGAACGAAATTGACCTTTTTTGGTTGTGTTCAATGAAAGTTTAAAACGTTATATCTCGAGAACTATTTGGTCTATGGACAAGAAAGTTATATCATATGAAAGGTTAGGATTTCAGTTACTAGATGATAAAACTAATTTTGTTGCAGTATAAATCAAAGGTGTCCAAAATAGCAATTATATGTTAACGCCCATTTATCACGCCAACTAGTGGGCGTGGCAGCTTTTAACACAGCTTATATGAATCGCAATTTTCCATTCTATCTAATTGCCAAATTTTATGTAAAAATTCTTAAAAACAGTCGAAATATGAATGGAAGTCTAAAAATTGTTTATAGACAACATTGACAGTTTTTGGCTATGTTCGAGCAAAGTTGGAAGACTTATAACTCCGAAACTATTTGGCGTATAGCCAAAAATGTTATATCATACGAAAGGTTAGAAATTCAGCTTTTAGATCGATAATTTTATTTTGGAAAATATAAACCTATTTGTCGAAAATAGCAACTATAAGTTTACGCCCATTTGTTAGCCCACCTAGTGGGCGTGGCAGTTTTAAATTTTTGAAAAATATTCTATATATTGTCCTCTATCTACATACAAAATTTCATTCAATTATCTTGCAAAACAACCGAGATATTCAACAAAAACCAAAAGTGGTTTTGGGACACAAAATTTGAAAAAAATAATTGCCAAAAATTTTTGTTAAACACCAAGTCACCAGAACCTGGTAGTAGGTGGATTTTCGCACACTATTTTCTTTGAAATGTTATATCTCGAAAACTACTTGAGATATTGATATGAATGTTTCACCATATGATAGATTGGAAATTGTTCTACAAGATGGGCAACCTTTGGCCCGCCTGGAGTTTGGACAAGCCTGTTGAAAAGTGTGATATATAGTTAAGACAAGTTTATCTCAGTTGTTAATGGACCTAGATGGTCACAGTATGGTATATGAATCGTAATATTCCATTCTATCTAAATGCCAAGTTTTAGTGAAAAATTCTTAAAAATAGTCGAAATATTGGTGAAAGTCAAAAAATGGTTTAAGAACGAAATTGACCTTTTTTGGTTGTGTTCAATCAAAGTTTAAAACGTTATATCTCGGGAACTATTAGGTGTATGGACAAGAACGTTATATCATATGAAAGGTTAGGATTTCGGCTACTAGATGATACAACTTATTTTGTCGCAATATAAATCAAAGGTGTTCAAAGCAGCATTTATATGTTAACGCCCATTTATTACTCTAACTATTAGGCGTGGCAGTTTATAGTACAGCTTATATGAATGGCAATATTCCGTTCTATCTAATTGCCAAATTTTATTTAAAAATTCTAAAAAACAGGCGAAATATGGATGAAAGTCTAAAAATTGTTAAAAGACAACATTGACCGTTTTTGGCTATGTTCGAACAAAGTTTGTAACCTAATATCTTGAGAACTATTTGATGTATAGATAAGAAAGTTACATCATATGAAAGGTTAGGATTTCAGCTTTTAAGTCTATCAATTTATTTTGTTAGCTATTTCGGCAAACTAAATAAAACATACAATGTATACTTAAGACGCGTATATCTAACTATATAATGGCCATATGAAGTATAATCATAGTTTTTACAAATCCCTGCTATTTAATTAAATAATGATCAATTACAAAGAAGTGTTTCTGGTTGTAAACTTAATGTGTGCATTTAGTTTAAAAATAAAAGAGTTCAAATTGTGTTGCATACTTTAGTGTGCTATTTTTATTGAGATTGTTAAATTTGTATGGAATTTTTTCAAAAAGTAGCTCGAATCAAAAAACCGAGTCCATTTTCGGATTCAGCGTGGGGGTTTCCGGTAAATAGGGGTTTCCAGCCCAATCGGACGGCACGTTTTCAAGAAAAACGCAAAAAACTGAAAATTGCAAATTGGCTATTTTTGCAAATCGATTACGAACACATAGAGAAAATCTTTCACATATGAGTTATGCAGGTGCTGTGTGTAGGTGTATGGTCTCATTTCATCTCAATGCGCTCTTTTATTAACAAATAAATGGTTTCAATTTGTATAGCATACTTTAGAGCGCCAATTTTATTCAAATCCTAAAATTTGTATGGAATTTTTACAAAAAGTTGCTCGGATCAAAAAACCAAGTCCATTTTCGGATTCAGCGTGGGGGTTTCCGGTAAATAGGGGTTTCCAGCCCAATCGGACGACGCGTTTTCAAGAAAAACGTAAAAAACTGAAAATTGCAAATTGGCTATTTTTGCAAATCGATTACGAACACATAGAGAAAATCTTTCACATATGAGTTATGCAGGTGCTGTGTGTAGGTGTATGGTCTCATTTCATCTCAATGCGCTCTTTTATTAACAAATAAATGGTTTCAATTTGTATAGCATACTTTAGAGCGCCAATTTTATTCAAATCCTAAAATTTGTATGGAATTTTTTCAAAAAGTTGCTCGGATCAAAAAACCAAGTCCATTTTCGGATTCAGCGTGGGGGTTTCCGGTAAATAGGGGTTTCCAGCTCAATCGGAAGGCGCGTTTTCAAGAAAAACGTAAAAAACTGAAAATTGCAAATTGACTTTTTTTTTGCAAATCAAACGCTAATACATGCAGCACTAGTACATGAGTTTGTTTTAATAAAGTTATGTGTGTTTATGTTTATGGACTTTAGACATGATTAAAACTAAAGCAGTTGTGGGAGGGATTTGTTTTTTGTTTTTAGTTTGCATTTATTTTTAATAAATTGTTTATTATTATTTTTTGTTTAGTTTTAATCTTTAATAATTGTATTTTATTATTTAATAAGCCTTTTGGGATATTAATATTACGGGGCGAAGTGATTCACTCTAAATTCCCTTTAATCTAATTAAAGTCTTTTGCTGTTGTGTTGATTTTGATATAAATCTAAATAATATCGATTTAACACCCATTTGACTTTTTACATGTTGCTTTTTTAGAATTTTAATATTTCGTTGTTGTTGTTAGTTTGTCTATATTGCAATTAATGTCGGTTATATCCTGATGTTTGTTTTTTTTTTTTTGCTTTAGGAGGGTGTTTTACTGTTGGCTTTAAGGCTTATCGTTCTAGGCTAATCCACTGTCGCCGCCTAAAATATTGTTAGCTGTTTGGCTGAGTGAGTGAGTTAGTGTTTCGTTAGGTATGAACAAATAGACTTGACATGCGATCAGCACATTTATTCTTTCTTATCGCATACTTAATTTTATGCTTAAAAAGCCATTCGTTATTTAATTACTTTGCCACTTTAGTGGCAGTCACTGCTGCCTATATATATATACTCACTTATATTTTGCTGTTGAGTGGCCAAAAAGGTGCGAAATATTATGGTTGAGTTATTGTGTTCTGGTGTTCGTTTTAATTTTCATTTCTTTTCAGGGCATTTTAATTAGGAAGTAATTACCACCGCACTTGCTGTACTCACTGTACTTCAAATAAGAAAATAGCAGAAAAGCTTCAAATAAACATAATAAAACAATACAGCCAATTATTAAAATTAAAGCTAGACTAACACCTACCAAAAAAAAACAGTAAAACCTGTATAAATATAATTCATAAATTATTTTTAAATAATTTTTGAAATCATTTGCTTTAGTTGCTTTAAGTTTTTTAATATACCCACCTTGTTTATTTATTTTATTTTTGTTCTATTTATCCAGTGTTTACTGTAGTTTTATGGATTTATTACTAATAACCCAATTATTTTTATGTCTCCAAATAAAACTCATATTTGTTTTTTTTTTTTTGTTAATTTTTTGTTTTTTACAATATATTTTCTTTGTCTTTTTTTTGTTTGTTTTCACATAATTATTTAAAATAACAAATTTACATTTGTAACTTTTAATTTTTTTTATTTTGTAAAATCTTAAATTCGAAATTAAAATATTTTTTTTATAATATTTTATTAATTTTATATTAAATTTTAGTTATTTTTTTTTATAAGTTTTATATAATTTTGTGGGTTTGTTTTATATTAAATTTATTTAATTATATTATTTGCATTTTTTTGTTTGTTTATTTTTTTGTTAATATTTAAACTTTCTTTAAGATTTGTGTATAAATGTATGAGTGCTGTGTGTATGTGTGTGTGTCTTTCAAGAACAAAATTTTCTAAATTATAAAAGTATTTTTATTTTTATGTTTTTTTAAATAAATTTTCTTTTATTTTTTAACAGAAAAAAATGCAATTTGTTTTAATATAAATTTATTATTAATTTAGTTTTCTAACATAAATTTTTTCTTTCTTTTATAATAATTTTGTTTTTTCATACCAAACATTATTTTTGTTATAATTCTTTTTTAAATATAAACAAGTCTGTCTGTGTTTTTTTTTTTAATTAATTATTTTATCTTTTACTTACAAAATTCTGTTTTTTATATTTTATTTTATATATATATTTATATAAGAGATATACGTGTTTTTATGCTAATGGTTTTCTTTATATATATAATTAGTTATAAATCTTTTTTAACATACAAGTTTTTTTTTATAATTTTTTCATAATTTGTTTTTCTATTTACACATTTTTATAGTTGTAATTATGTCGTTGGGGACATAGATTAGACTGTTTTTACAAACTTGTTACAATGTACTAATGCACTTGTTTTTGTTTTTTTGTTCGGAAATATTTTTCAATTTAAGTTAATTTCATACAAAATTTCAAAAATCTAACAGTATTAATCGCACACAAAATGGTTGGTAATGGGGGGCCTTTAAAAGAAACTTCAAAAAACTTCTAACAATTTAAAAATGTCGTATGAGTTTAAATTACTTTGTCTGTTTTAGAAAATTATTAATTTTTGAGTTTCTTTCTTCAGTTCCATTCTTGTTAAATATTACCTTCCCCAAAAAGTTTTATTTAAATGTCGGACGTTTAATCGGATATACAAAATATTCTAGGACAATAATTAAAAATCTAGCTTAAAACCATAAATTTTATAAATTTCTGTTTAGAATTGCCATATTTTAAAGCTGTAGCTCAATTTAAGTTGTCGGATCAAGCTATTAACATACAATTTTGTCGGCCATACCATGCTTTGTATGTTTATATTACCTGTATAGTACAAACTACAAATATTTTTGTTCTATTAACTAAAATGTTAAAAGAATTTGCAATAGCTCAACTTTTTTTAAATCTGTACCTCAATTTAAGTTGTCGGATCAAGCTATTAACATACAATTTTGTCTGTCATACATATCTTTGTCTGTATATATTACTTTTATAGTAGAAACTACAAATATTTTTGTTCTATTAACTATATCGTTACAATATATTGCAATAACTCAAGTTTTTTGTCGGCTAAATAGTTCAACAGACAAAAAATTTTGTCGGTTGTCAAATATTTGCACATTTTTGTATATAACATTTTAATTGTAAGACTTTTTAATTTATAACTTTTCAAAAAACCTAAAATTTCTTGTCTGATGTTTTGTCAGACAAAAAATATTTTGTCGGTTTTTATTCGTATTACAAAACTGCATCCATTTTATATAAACAAATGTTGCTTAAAAGTTTTTTCTTGTCGTTTAATATTGTCGTCCGACAAAATTTAACTTATATCAGACATTTCTTGTCTGCCAAACATTTCATTGTCTGTTTATCTTCTATTATCAAATACAAATATGTTTGTTCTAATAACATAATTGATAAAGATCTTTGCTAAACGTTCTTTGTCGGTTAAATAGTTCACCAGACAAAAAATTTTGTTGGTTGGCCAAGATTTCCACAATTTTCTAGTATAACATTTAAATTTTAAGATTTTGTAATTTATAACTTAAAAAAAATGAAATTTGTTGTCTGATGTTTTGTCAGACAAAAAATATTTTGTCGGTTTTTATTCGTCTTACAAAACTGCTTCCATTTCATATAAACAAATGTTTCTAAAACGTTTTTTTCTTATCGTTTAATAACGTCATACAATTTTCTTTGTCGTCCGACAAAATCTTAAAAATCGAACTTAAAGTAACAATATCCAAAAATGTTTAATTTTAAACTGTTAAATTTTGTTACTTTGTTGTCGGTTTAAACTTATATCTGGATTTTCTTGTCTGCCATACATTTCTTTGTCAGTTTATCGTAATTTATAAGTATTAAATACAAATATTTTGGTTTTAATCATAAAAGTGATAAAGCTAACAGTGCTCGATAAACGTTCTTTGTCGGTTAAATAGTTCACCATACAAATTATTTTGTCGGTTGTGGAAATTTTTGAAAATTTTTGTATATAATATTTAAATTGCAAAACTTTCCAAAAAAAAACTTGAAGTTTTTTGTGTTATGTTCCATATGTCAGATAAAATATTTTGTCGGTTGAATAAAAAACAAAGGTTTTCCGTTTCTCTTCAAAATTTTGTTTAAACCAGACAAGTCTTTTGTGAGAGTTTTTGGCTAAAAACTAGTTTAAAGAGAATTCTTTATAAAAAAATCTCTCTCTTTCAGCATTCGATCTCAAAATTTACGTATAACCTTTAAGGTGAATAACTAATGAGTAAGTGTGAACGACTACGATTCCATACTGAAGACTTCAAAAGAAATTTTATGAAATTTTATTAAAATTTAATATTGCTTTGTGTGATTTTACAATTACTGCCAATAATTTTCAAAATTTCTTTTAAATTTTCAAATTTTACTACTCTAAAATACATCCCTGCTAATATGTTATTAATTTAAGCAGTAATTAAGGTGCAATTGTGTAGAATTTAATTTTTCGTTTTTGCAACCATAGTCTAGTGGGATTTTAAACGGGGTGTGCGTTTACATTTGCCATGGATTTATTATGGTTAATGAAATTTAGTTTTGTATGTAACTAGAGGCGAGTAGGAATTAATTATTAAATTAATTCTTCTAAAATAAAACTTTAATATATTTTATAAAACTTATTTATTAAATTAATAATAATTAAAAAATAATATTTATATCAAGTTGACGGTTACAGGAAATGTGATATTTTTTTCTTTTTTTTTTTTGTTATTATTTTTATTTTCTTTAACTTGTAAATTATAAACGTCACTGTTGTTTGACAGTTCAGTTTTAAAGGAACATAATGGATTCAAAATTTCACACAATCGAATGATTTACTCTAAAAAAAATAATACTAAATGTACATTACACAACTTATAAATTTACATTTTTATTGTACAATTAACGTATTTTTTTTAAATATTGAAATCATACGTTTTTTTTATTAAAAAAAAAAGAAAAAATTATTAAAAAAACAAAAAAAATATTGGTCTTTGGTTTAAATTATTAAAATAGAAAAGAAAAAAATTACCAGGATAGAATGATATTTAAAAGAAATTAAAAAGGGAAGTAGCAAATGAAAAGAGGAATAGGAATAATGTTGGACAAAATTATTTTTTTTTTCAAGTTGTAGCAATTGTTGTAATTTAAAACTTAACACAAGTTAGTTATCATTTAAATTCTTACCGTTTATGATCAACAGGACGATGTTGCATTTTGACGATGGGTTGAATAAGTGTAATTAACTCCCCTTAAGCTCTGCCAAGCGCTATTGGGGCCACTAAAGCGTAGCGAGTAACTATTTAGTCACACATCGTCGAGATCGATGACGGACGAGCGATCGTTGTCGTCCCGGTCATACAATTGTCACTGATCCGTTAAAATACAGGGTGACTTTCTCTGCAAATCATCCATGGAACCGCTGGTGCTGCAAACACTGCCATTATGCTGCACCTCTAGGCCATTAACCATGTTTTCGATGCTTTTGAGCTCCGACGGTGAGTTGGTTCGTTTCAGTAGTGACGGTGGTGTGGTGGGCGACATTGAGATGGGACGCGTGGGAGGGGAATGCGAGGAGGCACGCGGTCTGGGACTAGAGCTAAGACTACGTGGTCCATGCTCTAAACTACCCGACCCACTGCACATGGCCGAGGGTCCCTCGTTACCACCGCGATTGGCATTCGAACCGGGTGTCACGGCATCAAAGGCCGAGCCTAAGCTGCCGGGCAGACTATAGGGTGAAAACCGATGACCCTTAAGACCCTGCAGGGGAGAGGTCGGTGTGTGTCCTGAGTAATGACCAAATAAGGCGGGATGCTGGGCGGCTAAGGCAAGTTGAGCGTTGAATAAGAGGCCGGGATTGAGACCGGTGGGATTCATAGCAGCCGCTGCAGCCGGATTGTGCAGTAAACCCAAATGATGTGGCGGGTAGAGACCATGGGGATACAGATAAGGCAACAGGTGTGGCGAGGGTTGTATGGGTGGACCCACCGATATATTGGGCGATGGATATGAACCAGTACCCGCTAAACCGCCGGCACCTTCTTTGGGACTACCCGAGGAGGTGGGACGAAACGCACCACCCGTACTGCCTCCCACACTCTCCGAACAGCTGGAATCACTGCCATCTCTTTCAATATCATCCGATTGTAGACGCCGCCTTAAGGCCTCTTCACTAGCATGATCACTCGCACCGGCCAAGTGGTTAAACCAAGCTGCAAGGGCTTTGAATTGATTAGAAAATCTTGAGCTATTGCAACTATTTCAAATAAAAATAAAAAGAATTTTTGTTTCTATAAGACACTTACCCGAATGCTGATGAGCATGCATTTGCTGCAGCGAATGACTTAAAGGCAATAAAGGACTTTGTGGCGGTCCCACCACATCCAACAGCTTGTCCTCATCATCTTGCTGATTGTCATGTATGGAGGGTAGGGCATGTAAATGATGCGGCGGCCGTCCCGTATGACCCAAATGCAGGGGTGCCCGGGAACTGCTGACATGAGTGGGATTTAGTTTATCCGAATCGGACCCGCGATTCGAGAGTAACGCTTGCCTGTAACAACAGTTGGTACGAAAAAAAGGCTGATTAGAACATCCAATTGTCTAGAGGGATAAAGTGCTATGGTAATAATGGTAATACCCTAAGAAAGGTCAAATTGTTAAGCTCCAAAGCCGCTTAATAGCTAAGGAGAGAAAACACTTTTGTTTTTAAAGAACAAAATTCGAGAAAGAAAGTTTGTCGACAATTAGCAGGGATTTGTTAAAATTAAAATAATCTGGCCTTTGCACAAACACTCAAAAGAAACACTTAAGCTCTCCAACTCCTTGAAAATAAAACTTTTTTTTGATTGTTTTTGTTTGCCCATACAACGGTCGTCTATCTCCCTGTCTACATATAAAACTGGCAAGTTATTAGTAAAGTTGTTTGTCTGTTTGTTCGTTTGATTGTTTGTTGATTTAACCCTTCATTATTTTGTTGCTACATATTTGTTTCAGAATATGTACACATTTAATCTGTGGATGGTGTATGTTACATATAGCCTCGCAATCAACTGGCATCAATTGTCCTGCTTTCAATGTCACCCAACATTTATTAAGCCACAAAATATGTACGTGATTTGTTTTATAGATTCTGTTTTATTTGTTTTAGAACAATAAGTTCTAACAAATTTCTTACTAATTCATTGTCACATAGGGGTTGTTGCCCAGAATGGTTGGGGGGTTCTACACAAATAATCAAATGTGTCTAACAGTTGATTTTGAAAATCAACAACCCTTTCCCGTTTTTAGTTTCTCTATTTAATTTTCATTTTGTGGTTGTATGAAACCATTAAATCCTCTTGCCGTATAATGACACCCAAACCCCGAACATTTTGAGCTAATAATAATTTTGTGGCTTTGCAACAACACCACCCTGTTTTTTCCACATTACACCACAGGATTTTTTTCTTGCTTTTAGTGAGTGAACTCACTTAATGAAAATCTAAAAACATTTCTGTCATTATCGCTGCATGAAGGCTTAAACATTTTTGAAAAGGTATCAAAGGATTACCACACATTCCTGCGAGAAAAAAAAAACACAAGAAAACAATTTTCAAAAATTCTTGCTCTCACTTTTAGCTAACGTAACGTCATTTATTTGAGAAAAGGAGTCAAAGTGAAATTATTACAAAAACATACGCTAATTGATGTTTTCATTTAAAAACTTTTAACGCTCAAACTCTCAAACGGGTTGGCAAAACGCACTTCAAATTAAATCGAAAAATTTTTATAAACGGAAACGATTAAGTGAAATATGCAATCGGATATGAAGGCACTTAAACAGGGTGTTGGGTAAAGGGATGTAAAAAAGGCTTTCATATTCTGTGGTCAATAGGGTTCTTAGTCTCGGGCCTATTTATTATAAAATAGAGTCAATATTCTTTACACTAAAGAGCGCGGGGTCTCTGGAAAACAAAGTCCATAGAGTCGCGGAAATGTCAGAACTATAGAACCTATAGACGCCTATTAATCTAATAGTCTACCATTTCTGGGGTATATTGAGTCTGTAGTTTCTGGTTTATAGTCTCAGGGCTGCTGGTGTACATTGTCTGAACTATTGAGTCTATACATCTTGGACTATAGAGTCTATGGTCTCTGGGCTATAGAGTCTATAGTCTCTGGACTATAGAGTCTATAGTCTTTGGACTATAGAGTCTATAGTCTCTGGCCTATAGAGACTATAGTCTCTGGACTATAGAGTCTATAGTCTCTGGACTATAGAGTCTATAGTCTCTGGACTATAGAGTCTATAGTCTTTGGACTATAGAGTCTATAGTCTTTGGACTATAGAGTCTATAGTCTCTGGCCTATAGAGACTATAGTCTCTGGACTATAGTGTCTTCAGTCTCTATAGTTTTTGGGCTATAGAGTCTATAGTCTTTGGACTGTAGAGTCTCTGGTCTATAGAGTCTATAGTCTCTGGACTATAGAGTCAGTAGATTATAGAGTCTATTGTCTCTGAACTATAGAGTCTATAGTATCAGGACTACAGAGTCTATAGTTTCAGGACTACAGTGTCTAAAGTCTCTATAGTCTATAGACCCTATAGTCTCTGAACTGTTACTGAACTATAGTATATAGTCTCTGGACTATAGTCTATAGTCTCTGGACTATGGTCTATAGTCTCTGGACTATAGAATCTATAGTCTCTAGACAATAGAGTCTATAGTCTCTGGCCTATAGAGTCTATAGTCACTGGACTATAGTGCCTACAGTCTCTATAGTTTTTTGGCTATAGAGTCTATAGTCTTTGGACTATAGAATCTATAGATAATAGAGTCTCTGGACTATAGAGTCTGTAGATTATAGAGTCTATTATATCTGAACTATGGAGTCTATAGTATCAGGACTACAGAGTCTATAGTTCCAGGACTACAGTGTCTAAATTCTCTATAGTCTATCGACCCTATAGTCTCTGAACTGTTACTGAACTGGACTATAGTATATAGTCTCTGGACTATAGTCTATAGTCTGTGGACTATAGTCTATAGTCTCTGGACTATAGTCTATAGTCTCTGGGCTATAGTGTCTATAGTCTCTAGACTATAGGGTCTATAGTCTCTGGCCTATAGAGTCTATAGTCACTGGACTATAGTGCCTACAGTTTCTATAGTTTTTTGGCTATAAAGTCTATAGTCGCTGGACTATAGAGGAACACCCAGTTTAGGTTGCACCCTGTTATTTTTGCAAAAAGTATTATTTGTTTGATTGTGCGTTATTTAACAAATAGCAATTGAAAAATACACAAAAAGATCTACACTAGAAAAGAAGGAAGCAAACATGTCTCGGGGTTATATTTCTTTAAAAAAAACAAACCCAAAACAAATAAAGCCAATGTAAATGGGAACAAGAACTCCCAGTTCAACACACAACAATCAACGTTTTATAAAAACAGATTGTGTGAAAATATTATAGAAAAAAAGAAAATCCCCTCGAGCGATAGTTGACAAAACGTTTGTTTTCGCAATAAATTTGCAATACAAAACGGAGACCAGGATAATTGACAGCCAAACAAAAGGAATATAAAAAAAAGTAAAACGGAATTTTTAAAACTTAAATACAAGTGATCAAAGTAAAGACGACCAACAGCAGCCACCAAACAAAAAATAGGTTAAAAAAAGGGGGAGTTAAAAGTGTAAATTGTTTGAATAAAATAATAAAGAAAACTCTAACTGGAAAATTACAGGGCAAAGTCCGCTTTAAGCTCTCTATATGGTTGTTGTTTCCAAAAAAAAAAAATTGGCAACAAATTATAAGGGTAACACATATGTACAACAATTTTAAGGTGCCTTAATACAAAAATTATCCAAAACCTCCTTCTGTATAACATTATTTATCTATTATAGCTTTCTTCTAAGGGAGGGGAGTTTACAACCCAAAAGTTAAATAAAACAAATTGATTTACTATTAAATTAAGACGAAAAATGCTTTTTTCTTTTGCTACCTATTGCTGTTATATGTTTTTATTATTATATTACCGCTCGTCTCGTTTCGTGTTGCCTTTAAATTAAGCTTTTCTAACATGTTTTAGCAGTAGGATTCACCTCAAATTGCCCAATTTAGCTGGAGTTTTTTTTCTCTCCAGTTTAATATATAGTATTTCTAATGTGTATTTTTTTAAGGCTGAAGAAAATTGTAACGCTTTGATGTGTGAACACCAAAGGAGTTTCATTATTTAATACCTTGTGGCAAGAAAATTGCGATAACGTGTTTCGAATTAATTTTTTATAACGTTTTTTTCTGTTTTTTTATTTGTATTTCTCGCTTTTTCATAAGAGTAGTGTACTTTTTTATAATATTTCTGTTTCAATTAAGGTATAAACTAAACTAAATTACATATATGGAATGATAGTTATAAGGGAAACTGTTTCCCAAGAGATATAATTTTGTAAGAAAACTCAAAAATTTATCATTTTAGAAAGTTTGTAACGTTTTTTATAACATTAGGAAATGGTGTTAAATTTTTGCCATTCTAATTGTTAGGTTTTTCATTTTTAATTTTTCTTTGAAGAAATTTCTTAATTTTATTTTCAAATTTTTTTTTCTCTTTTTTAATTTTTTACGGAAATGGTGTTTTCTATCTTTTTAGCATTCCATAAAAGGATATACAAAATAACAATAATAGGACAATTATCTATAAATGTTGAGTTAACAAGCTTGCCAATATAAATACATACAGTGTAGAGCAAAAAAAGGTCAAAATAAACAGAGACCACCTGATTCAAGGAGAGAAATCTTTAGTATAAGACGTAGACTTTATAATAGTTCAGAAGTAGTGTTCAGAATAAGAGGTTATATTTAAAAAAGGACGTAGTGTTTAGAATCAGAAGTAGTCTTTTGAAAGCACGTAGTATTTGGATAAAGGCGTATAATTTAGAAAAAGTCGTAGTCTTTAGAAAAAGACATAGTCTTTAGAAAAGGACGTAGTCTTTGGAAAAAGACGTAATCTGTAGAAAAAGACTTAGTCTTTAGAAGAATACTACGACTTTAGAAAAATGCGTAGTATTTAGACAAAAACATAGTATTTAGAAAAAGACATGGTCTTTAGAAAAGGACGTAGTCTTTAGAAAAAGGCGTAATGTGTAGGAAAAGACCTAGTCTTTAGAAGAATAGTACGTCTTTAGAAAAAGACGTAGTATTTAGACAAAGACGTAGCCTTTTAAATAAGACAAACTTTATAGAATAAGACAAAGTTATTGGATCAGTATCAGTGTTTGAAATAAGACGTTATTTTTAGAATAAGACGTTTAGAAAAAGACGCGGTTTTCTAAATAAAATGTTGTCTTTGGAATTAGACAAAGACTTTAGAATAAGACGAGTTATTAAAATAAGATTTCATTAAAATAAGACGCACACAGAGGGAAAAGGAAATATACACGCCTGGTATCAAATTGACACCAAAGAGTTTATAATTTTTCAATAACATTCGTTACGCAAAGTATATACATACTTACGACAACACTGTGTAATATTGACAACGCAACGTTGTCAACATTGCAACAATTCGTTGTCGAAATCTTAATTTTATACACATCCGTGGGCTAAATGTTAACAAACGTGGTAAGATCATTTTTGGCAACCGATAGTTTGTCAATAGTTAACATTTAGACAACGGATGTGTATAAAATTTAGATTTCGACAACGAATTGTTGCAATGTTGTCAACATTACATAGTGTTGTCGTACGTATGTATATACTTTGACAACGGATGGTATTGAAAAATTATAAACAGTTTGGTGTCAATTTGGTACCAGGCGTGTATATTTCTTTTTCCCTCTGTGTAGTCTTTAGAAAAGAAAGAGGTTTAAACGATAAGTCATAGCATTGGAAATAAAACGTAGTCCTTAGAATTAAAAGAAGTCTATGAACTCAAATATATAAAGATCATTCGAAGTCGAGTTGGGTCTTTCAAACATTAAAAAGTACAAACCCGGTTTCTCGGCTATAATCACCTCTATCGCCTATTAACATTTTACGTGTAATATGTTCCCTCTACCGCCTATTAACATTTCACGTGTAATATGCTCCCTTTTCACTCTTTTCGTGTACTAACTTTTTAGACATGAAAAAAATTCCTTCTTGCGAAATTTTTTGATGGAATTTTGTAAACAATGAACAGCTGTTGCTTACAAAATCAGCTATTGTGAATGAATTGTTTACAGTAAGTTCATGATAGCAATTTTCCCTTCGAGGGGAATGAAAATTTCACTTCTATTGGCGATAGGGGTGAATAATTCTTTCCTTAAAAGACGTATTCTGGGGTTAAAATCGGGAATTGTGAAAAATGGATGCATACATTTGAAAAAAGCATAATAAAAACTTAGTCTGGAGTTAAGGGCATAAGGTCCTAAGTTAAAGAATAATGCAGTACTACTAAGTAAAGAATATAGTTCTAAAGAAAAATCTCATCTGGTGGTGTTCTTTCCAATTCATTTGCTCACACTTTTGACCTACACTGCTTAATTTAAAACCCCTCTATCTATAGTAAAATCCTTAAGAACTACTCCATAGGCATTCAAATATAAAAATAAAGCCCAGTAATTTTAAATAAACTTTTAAATTACTCAAACAATGTTGTACAGTAAGTAAATAATCTGCCAAATAATGTGAACAGATAATAGATAGCAAAAACAACTTTGATTGATTGATTTTAATTTCCGTTTCTAATAGAATATTTAAACATTACACCACAATATAAATTAGTTTACGAAATATAAATATAACAAAACAATGAAAATAATTATGGTTTTTATAAAGAAATCGATAGCACAGAGGCATAGAATAAATCACAGCAGGATAAAAATCATCAATATCAAACACATCATCTCTCTATATAGAGCTAGTCATCAGCAGCATGTTAAAACCAAATTTACATTATAAAACACATATAAGACAGAGATTGGAAAATAAGGGGAAGTTGAAAAACTAGGAAGAATCAATTGTAAAAATCCGGAAATCCGATACGTACGGCAAAGAAAAAAAATCTAAAGCATACGTTTTTGGTCAACTTAAGTTTTTGGTTTAAGATAAGGGTGCAGCTGGGGGAGGATAAGATTTTGTTGACTTAGCAATTTAAGTCCTGAAAATCACTAAATGTAACAAATCAAATATGTTTTTGGTTCTCAAACGTCATGGTTTTGCTTCAAAATATAACGAAGAAAAAATGTGGCCAGATCTTTTAGCATGATGAATGACATTTAAACGTACAAAAACACAGTGGCGAGTGACTGACTGACTGATGTCTTCATCAGTGCAAATCAATTTTGTTGTTTCCGTGTCGTTGACACCAGCAGCATATAGAATAGATAGAATAGACATGTTGTGGCAGCTAAAATGCTTGTTCACGTTTTCTTTTTCTAGTTGTTTTTTTTTCCTTTCCAAAGGGAAGTAAAGAAGAACTTAAAATAGACAAGAGAAAAACACCAACAATTCAATTGTACACTGTTGTCTAGTGTGTTAAGGGGGGGTTGGTTGCTTTATTGCCACTGATGATGATTACAACTTGTGAAGTCAACTGTCAACTGGAATGAGTTTCAATAACTTGAAATTTGCCAAAACTAGGAAATGCCTTAATATTGTTAATTCACTTCAGTTTTTTGGGAGGTAGAGGCGAGTCCTGCTGCTCCCAATAGCTGGTGTGTTTTTGTTGTTTAAAAACCAGATTACATTTCATTAAAACAACTGTCAGTTGTTTAAATAAACTGACAGACATTTAGGCACGCAGACAGACGGACAGACAGACAGGCGTTAACTTTAAGTTTACAACTGCGGTTGGCATCTTAATTTTCTTTAGCAAATCATGAGAGTACAAGAGTTGGTTCTAGACTTTTGACTTTACACGTTTGAGTGACAATATGTCACTGGCAAAGATTTGTTGGAAATTATCAAAAAATTTGCATTCATACTCGAAGAAATGCAAAAGAGAAAGAAAATAAATATTTTGGAAATCGGTTTGAATGAAACTTTTTAGTATGAGACTCTTCTGAGGTCCTTTTAAAAGTACTTTACAGAAGTATCCAGACTCCAATATTTCATAAAACTTGTTGTAACTAAAATGATGTTGAATCTTGAAAAAAGGATTCGATTTAAGTTTGAACTTTCATGAATACGAAATCACTGTGATATTGAAACTCTTTAGCATAAAAGTATTCTGAAGATCTTTTCAAGTTTATCTATGAAAAGTTACTAAAGCACTCTAATATCGGGGCAATTGGAACTCTTTGACATAGGACTATTCTGAGAATCTTTTCCGGGTCTTAAAAGAACTGACCAGGCTTTACTGAGAGGGAGAGAGAGAGAGATTTTCATTAGATGTAATTATAACTCCTTGGCGTAAGGGTTTTTTAAACGTCCAATCCCTTCCAAGAGACTTTCTATGACTCACCTATTTCATATCATTTCTTTCAATGACATAGAACTCTTCTATGGATCTTCAAACCAAATTGCGATGAAACTAGAGAAACTTTTTCAAATCAAGTTGGAAGTTCGATTGTTTAAATCAAAAATAAATTTCTAAATCTGCCTGAAATCGGTGCAAATTTTGAGCTTAAGACTCTTTTAAATATCTTTAAACCAAATTAAGCTGAAACTGGAGAAACTACTTCAAATAATGTTCGAAGTTCGATTGTCAACGAAGTTCGAACGGTTCAAAGTAAATAAATTTCAAACTTTGAAATCAGTGCAAATTTGTTGCTTAAGACTCTTCTAAGGGTCTTCTACTTATTGAATAAATTATGCTCAAACTAAAAATTTCGGTTTGATACAACTTTTACGGTTCGATGGCATTAAAGATTGCTTTAAGATCTAACAGATGTATGACGTTTTGTTAGCCAAATTGTTCTAAAATAAATGTTTTGATGTTCAAACTAGAAACCAGGTTTAAAGCGATATCAAAAATCGATTGTTTTTAAAAAATTGTGTCTAATTTATTAAAATGTAATTGAAAGAATATCTTTATAAGATATAGAAATTCCTTTTTGCAAGTTGTGTGAAACTTTTTATTTAAATCCCAGTCAGATAAATGTCACTTCCTCATCTTTGTATGTCAAAATTTTTGACATTTCAAAACATTTCCTTTCACTCAAAATTAATAAAAAAAAACTCTATGTAAATTTTTGAATAATTTAAAAAAAAATTTTGGTTTGCTTAACTCTAGTGATACTCACTTCTTTTCCCTTTTACCGGCGCCTGTATCACGAAAACCTTTTGCAAAAGGATTGTTGTCAATTTTCAACTGAGTTATCTGCAAGCAGCCAATATACAAACACATTTAAAGAGCACAAAAAGTAGCAGGAATAAACAGCCATAAAAAGAGAATACAAAAACAAAGAAGAATAAAAAAGACACATTAAATAGTTGTTTATTATGAGTGACAAAAAGTTGTCATGAAGGTACTATATGAATGTATAAGACGTACCTTTTCATTTTGATATGCAGTCACAGCTATGAATTCCGTCTCCTTAAAAACGTATGTCCTGAACGTTGAGTATGGTAGTTTCAAAATATCGTTGGCTCGCACCAAATGAAACCGGGGTTGATATTTATGCATGGAATTGAGTATCGTCTGCAAAGATAGATAGAAAAGAAAACAAAATATTTTGTATGATTTTTTTTTTAAAGAATATTTTGTACTTTAAAAACACATAGAAAAATTCATATAACACATTTGCAAAAACACATACATAGGACCTTTGGCAACAACCACAACATCATCATCATAGCATTCTCATCATAATTTTTGTATCTTGTAGGAATGATGATGATGATGATGTTTTGTAAAAAATACTTGTTTGCAATATAAAAGCAGAATTTTGCCACCCATACATTATGATACAATGATTGGCTGGCTGGCTGTCTGTTCTTGTGGAGTCTGATCAAACTAGAATAAATCGTCAAAAGACGAACAAAACATCAAATGCAGCAATACTCTACGACGACCACCCACCTTACACAACCAGCGAACGAACGACTAAGCAAACTTACAAACGGACGTCGTTGTGTGGCAATAATGTTCATGTCGTATGTCGTACGAGTGAGTATATCTTGTCATATATATTAGATTTAGCTTTCTTGGCTAAAACTGTTGGCTTAACCATTCTCGAGTTTAATGTTTGTTTTTTCTACCTTAAATTCATGTATCTTTTGTAACTTGTTTTTCGTTTCTTGTTAACGTTTTCGTTGGTGTTTTTAAAATGTTTATTAAATTTTAAAAAATATGACAAAAAACTTGCTTATAAAGTATTTAAGCTAATCATAAATATGTATTCGGATTGCGGTTTTTCTTTTGCCGCCACTGTGTGTTCAACTCTTAGACCAAAGACCTCACATTTAGTAATGCACACGACAAGTTGTTTCAAATCCCCAACGAAAAAAAAAACATTGTCCAGCTTATTGGCTGGATTGAAAACACCTTTTAATTATCATATTTTTTTATTTAGTGTTATGGATTCGTTGCGGTGTTTTTAAAAAGACCACACCAACTGTTTAGGCGACCTTCTGTTATACTAGGGAAAAGTTATCAACAGATTTTAGTCATTTTATTATCTAAAAGGGTGGTCCTTTTTATTTTCTTGAAAAAAAAAAAAAAAAAAAAAAAAATTAAGTGAAACATTGTAAATCTTGTCAAAGTGAGTCATATTTGGGGAGTTGCACGAAAAACAGACAGTGTAACATATCAGACTAGCTTCAGTCTGAACATCAAACATTCTTCAGTTGTCTTTAAAGCAAAAGGACCTGACATAGAAAATTTAGTACTAATGTAATTTCTACAGCTTATAAACTTCTGATAAGTAGTCAATAGGCCAATCTGTAATCTGGTCTGTAATATTGTTTGCATTCCAGTCTATAGTCTAATGTAAACTCTAGTCGTAAGTCTAGTCTATGTTATAGTCTATGGTTTAGTCTAGAGTTTAGACAGCAGTTTAGTCTATAGGTTAGTCTATAGATTAGTCAATAGTTTAGTTAAAAGTCTAGTCCTAAGTCTAGTATATAGTCTAATCTAAAGTCTAGTTTATATTCTATTCCATATTCCAGGTTTTGGTCTAGTGTATAGTGTAGTCTATAGCCTAGTCTAGTTTGTAGTCTAATCTATAGTGTAGTCTAGTATGTAGTCAAGTCTGTAGTTTAGTTTAGTCTACAGTCTAGTCTATGGTCTAGTCTGTAGTCTAGTCTATAGTCTAGTCTATAGTCTAGTCTATAGTCTAGTCTATAGTCTAGTCTATAGTCTAGTCTATAGTCTAGTCTAGTAGTCTATAGTCTAGTCTATAGTCTAGTCTATAGTCTAGTCTATAGTCTAGTCTATAGTCTAGTCTATAGTCTAGTCTATAGTCTAGTCTATAGTCTAGTCTATAGTCTAGTCTATAGTCTAGTCTATAGTCTAGTCTATAGTCTAGTCTATAGTCTAGTCTATAGTCTAGTCTATAGTCTAGTCTATAGTCTAGTCTATAGTCTAGTCTATAGTCTAGTCTATAGTCTAGTCTATAGTCTAGTCTATAGTCTAGTCTATAGTCTAGTCTATAGTCTAGTCTATAGTCTAGTCTATAGTCTAGTCTATAGTCTAGTCTATAGTCTAGTCTATAGTCTAGTCTATAGTCTAGTCTATAGTCTAGTCTATAGTCTAGTCTATAGTCTAGTCTATAGTCTAGTCTATAGTCTAGTCTATAGTCTAGTCTATAGTCTAGTCTATAGTCTAGTCTATAGTCTAGTCTATAGTCTAGTCTATAGTCTAGTCTATAGTCTAGTCTATAGTCTAGTCTATAATCTAGTCTATAGTCTAGTCTATAGTCTAGTCAATAGTCTAGTCTATAGTCTAGTCTATAGTCTAGTCTATAGTCTAGTCTATAGTCTAGTCTATAGTCTAGTCTATAGTCTATCCTTTAGTATATCCTAGTCTATGATCTGGACTATCGGTTAACCCTGAAAATTATTAACCAATATTCTATTAAAAAAGTATTTCTGCTTCAATGATCAAACCTTTGCTGAACCATTTTCCACCCAATTAAAACTGTAGGGTGGTGTTGGTTTGACCAGGCTTTTTAGTCATCATTACAATTCTTATTCTCACACAATGATCACTTCATTGGACACTCAATGACAATCAAAGGAGGAAAAAAACGCCATAAAACGTGAGATTCATGGGTTTGTGCTGAGGACCCCACACGTAACACACAGTTAATAAGTGACACAGCATGGTGCGTTTTAATAATTAAGCGACGCCATTTTTTCTTTTTTTTTTCCTTACCAAACTACTTACTACTTGCAAAGAGAACAGAAATAAAAGAAGCATACAAACAAAATCAAAATTGTCAATAACAGAATACAAGTTGTGGTGGCAATTTTATGCGTTCAATAACTTGTCGCCAGCAGCAGCAGCAGAAAAAAGCTATAAAATGCTAAAATTATTAACTGTTTAAAAGCCTCTTTCAGCCAACAAATAATTTTTAATTATTTTTTTTCTTTAAGCTTAAAACACTTGGGAAGTTGCTGGGAGGAAAAATTTACAAAGAATTTCTCTTTTTTTTATAGAGAAAACAAAAGTAAAGCGTGTGAATTTTTGTTGTGCGGTGGGTCCGTATTTTAAATTTTGAACTCCACATATATGATGCGGTACATAATTATGATGTCCCAGTATGTATATCAACAACAAGTCAATCTGTTATGTTGGGTTTAAAATTTTTCCAACAACAATCATTTAGTTTACGGTTTGACACTAATTAGGAGATTACGTGTTTGTTGGTCATATAAATGTTGCATGTGAAAACCTTTAGATGGATGCTTAAGATGGAACAACACCAAGTGACCTAAACTGTATAACAAAAAGAAATTTGTTTTATTTTTGAAATAAACTAATTAAAACACCCTGTATGCTGGAGTTTCCAGCTAAAAAATATTGTTATATTGGAAGTGTTTATAAATAATTGATAAGCTGTGGTTGGTGGTTTTTCTGTTTGTTTGTTTAATTTTGGGTTTCCTTTTGGCGCCAGTTTAAGATTTGTTAAATCTTTTTTTTTTTTGCTGGAACAAGACCTACCAAATCGCTGATTATTAACAAAGTAAATAACTTGCGGCTCTAATTCGTTAGTGATTTATGGCAAAGTTGAGGCAACTTAATGTTTAAGAAATTGTATCTACACTCAAACACATACCAGCAGCAGCACAGTACAGCACATACCACCTAAATGTTTTATCACAATCTTAAGACAAATTGCTGAAAAAATCTTGACCAGTAGATGTTGTTCTTTGTTGAAATGAGTGTTGGTTTGATGTTTTGTTGGAGGGTAGTTAAAAATGAGAAATTACTTTGAATTCTTTATAACAAGGATATGAAATGAGTTAATCTTTTTTTCGGTTGGAATGAATAAGTAAGACAAGTGTAAGATGTGCAGGAGACCTGATTATAGTTGAGACTATAATGCAGTCTATAGTCGAGATTAGAGTCTTTTCTATAGTCGAAACCATAGTTTAGTATATTCTATAGACGAAACTATGATCTAGTTTATTGTCGAGACTATAGTCCAGATTCTAGTCTATGGTCGAAGCTTTATAGTCTAGTTAATGGTCAAGGCTACAGTCGAAACCATATTCTATTGTATAGCCCAAACTATATTGCAATCTATACTCGAGACTATAGTCAAGAGTCTTGTCTATAATCGAGACTATAGTATTGTCTATGGACAAGGATATAGTCTTGTCTATGGCATAGTTTAGTATATGGTCGAGGCTATAGTCTAGTCTATAGTGTAGTCTCTAGTCTAGTCTATAGTCTAATCTATAGTCTAGTCTATAGTCTAGTTTATAGTCTAGTCTACAGTCTAGTCTATAGTCTAGACTATAGTCTAGTCTATAGTCTAGTCTATAGTCTAGTCTATAGTCTAGTCTATAGTCTAGTCTATAGTCTAGTCTATAGTCTAGTCTATAGTCTAGTCTATAGTCTAGTCTATAGTCTAGTCTATAGTCTAGTCCATAGTATAGGTGGCCGAGGCTAAAGTGTAGTCTATGGTCGAGAGAATAACTAGACTATAGTCTCGATTATAATTCAGTCAAGATTAAAGTCTAGTCCTTAGTTGAATCTATAATTTAGTCTGCATTTCAGTATATAGCCTAGTCGATAGTTCAGACTATAGTTTAGTCTATAGTCCAGTTAATAGCTGAGTCTACAGTCTGGTCTATATTCCAGTCTATACTTGAGAATATAGTATAGTTTATGGCATAGTTTAGTACATGGTCGAGGCTATAGTCTAGTCTATGATCGAAACTATAGTCTTGTTTATGGTCGAGGCTATTGTTTAGTCTATGGTTAAGAGTATAACTAGACTAAGTCCAGTATATAGTAGAAACCAAAGTGTCCACTATAATCCAGTCGAGATTAAAAGCTAGTATTTAGTCTAGTCTATAGTTTAGCCTGTATATCAGTCTATAGCCTAGTCCATAGTTCAGAATACAGTCTAGTCTATAGTCCAGTTTATAGCTGAGTCTACAATCTATTCCATATACCAGTCTTTACTCGAGAATATAGTCTAGTTAACAGCTTTTATATAAAAAAACTGATTAATGCTAAAGATCGTT